TAAACAGAGACATACAGGGCGAAACAATGTATCATAGAAAAAAATGAGGAGCCATAGATTCAATATTATACTAAAAACTATTTAGAATTATATATATATCTATATATACATATATAGGTTGATAGTAAATTCGTTGAAAACAGATTCCTTCGATGACTTTCCTATTTTTTAAGAGTAATTGATTATGTAGAGATTGACTACCTTTACAATTATTGTTTGTTGAATATACAACAAACAACACTACAAGTTGAATATCACTGCTAAACATGTTCAATGATGAATTAATATGATTGAATAATAAAAGACAAGTTCATGAATTGTGGTTGTTGTTTTATCTAAACTGTTTTTATTCTGCTATACATTGATTCTTTCAGTGTGGTGAATGAAAATTAATGAGTAAAACAATTAAACAAACATAAAAGAAAACTAATCATCAATCGATTGTTTAATAATAAGTAAATAATTATGATAATTTTCGACACCCAACTGTGTCTTCTACTATACTGATGATGGATGAATGGTGAATAAGTAAACTTTCAGTAAACATGTTTCAAGTGTACATACTGTTGTCAGTGAATTAAATGTGTTGTTACCGCTGCCAGGTGCAAAATATCTTACTCTTTATCTCCAACCGGGTTGTAGGTGTGTACTCCTGAGAAGTCTTCAGCTAGGGACGAAACAGTTGTCCAATATTCCATGGATTTTAGTGGTTCTCAAGATGATGTTATTTCAATGTCAAAGGCAAAGTCAAATGTTTCAAATCAAAGATTATTTAAACAAACAACTAGTTTCAATAACTTCGTCGTCAAGCTAAAATGGTGATATTTTAGATCGGTAACCGTGCAATCACTTCAAGAGTGTGTCATTCATCAATAAGAAAGGTCATTTAATAAAGGTCAAAATGATTTATAATAATAAAAATAATATTAACGTCTTTATTCATTTTAATAAGGTGTCAAGTTGTAAACAATATAATAGTACAATAAATTGTGAATACAATGTAGGGTAGGGGAATATCGTCAAGACAATGGAGATAACAATAATAATAATGATAATAATAATAATAACAATAATAACGTTGCGTGAATATAAAATATATGCATGCTTCAATTTGACCTTTGTAAAATAACTTAATAATTATAGACAGTCTGATGATGAAGTTATTGTGAACAATTGTTCCTTCCAACATTCAAATAATTCAATCAGTTCGGTGAACCCTATATGAGTCCATGAAGAATATAGAATGAAAATGCTAAACTCATCATCAAATGAAAGCATTAATCCACTTTTGAGGAACAAACTATTTGTTTCATACAATAATGGATAATATGATCCATCTAAAACAACCATACTCAATGTGGTTGCGGGAAGAGATCACCCCGTAAGAATGTGAACATTTGAAGGATAAGATGTTGTCATTAAAAAATATTAAATATTATTCACTTATCGCCTGGTATCATCAAGTTTATGATTATGCGATCGACGGTTTATTTGAAGGATTATAGGTTTCATTTAATGAACGAAAAATAACATCATCCACTGTCAGACGTTGTGTAACGTGGTTTGTGCATAACAAGTCATGTTAGTATGAGCACAAGTACAGTACAAATATATGAAAAGTGGATTACTTTTTGAAATCATGAATCGATCAATATTAGACCACCATTAGAAAGCTGAGAGCACTGGACGGCCGTAGTAGTAGTGCATACCCACGATTCCACAGGCGGGAACCCAAAGCTCTCTATCTTGCGCGAACGCCTAACCTCTGGACCACTGAGTCAGCATCTAACAATGTTAATGCCTAACTTCGAACAATCCACGCAAGGCCGAAGGTCCTGGCTTCGAATCCTGTGGGGAGCGAGAGTGGTGGATGCTCACTGGTGATGAGTTCCATACCAGGACGAAAGGGCTGTCCACTGCTTCCAGGTTTCTAATGCTGGTCTAACATTGATCGGTTCATAATTTCAAAAAGTAACTCAACAATCTCTACAACCCTATAATAAAAAATGAATTGTATATATCATCTGAAAAACTAGTGTCGGATTCAACCATTAACCTAGTCCATAGACCAAAACCCATTAAGGAAAAAATCAGTCATTCAGATTTGTCGTCTGATCTGTCTAATCAGACTCCAAAGCTATTTAGGTTACAGATTGTCTGCAAACACACACATAGATGAAATATAAACAACAATTTTTAGGTTTTTTTGTTGTATCGATTTTGTATAACTCTAATCGATATAAGGCTCAATGGTAGCTAGAATGGCTGAATTAAGTGAGTAAGGTCAGAAAATGTCTGAATCACCACACATGCATACAAACGAACACCTCCTAAGTTGAATACAAAATAATATACAATACACAATGTCACTTCTGACTTGGACAATGAATTAAGCACAAGACAATCACCAAGTTCTAGTGTATAAATGCATGTACATACTGCTACCCATTCTCACTGTCTCATAAAATGTCAAGTTAGTTGAAGAAAATGACAGACGGGCAATGAATGGCGCCTATATAGGCCTACATAGACCTCGTATCCATCCTCGTACACACACAACCTCATCCCATTTTCTGTAAACAGGGTGGGTTTAAAGTGAAAATTGAGAGTAGATGAAACAAACTAGAATGTGATGTACATCACGTTAGTATATGTGTATGTTTGTTTGAATAGAAAAGACAAATTCATTTAGGTAAAGGAAGGATTTTTCTGACCTAAATAAATAGGACAAATCAAACTGAGGTGGTGGGATTATCATGAAGGAGTAACCAGTATGATAGTAATTCAGGTTAAATTGTAAATCCCCTCTGTGCATGTTGGGTCGGGTCACATCAGAATTTGCCCTACGGGAATTATATCTTGTCCAGATAAAAACAAATCGATTCATGTCAGTTTCATTCGAATAGAGAAAACTGAAAGTCTGTGATGAGTTGAACTTCCCAACTCATGCAAATGACCCATTAAATTTTCTAAGATGTATACTCCCATTCAATTAAAAAGAATTAACATATTAGAAAGATTTGTTTATTATGTACGGTCAGTAGCTTTCAGAAAATTAAGGGATATATACTACTGATATCGAATAAGTAGTTGGATGCTACAAAAAGAATCAGCACCAACCATTGGTGAAACCGTCCTAACAATTAGCTAAATGAGCTAGTAACATTATCAAACACTATTCCATCCTGAGTAAAAATTGATTGTATAGGCTAAATATTGGAAGTTATTTCTGTCAGTTTATTAGGTAACCTGGAAAGCTCTTTATGAAAAACACAAATACTACAAAATAATATCTGTTTAACAAAGCTATTACTGAGTGATTAGAAAGCAATAAAGACTACTCATAGTAATTTTATCGTTACCGGTAAGTGAAAGTTGATATAGGCTGTCTTAGATTATTTTAATTAAAAAAACATTATTTACCACACATTGTAAGTGAGTGAGATAAATCTTCATAACATCAAAGCTGAAACAACATGCGAACACAGTGTTAAATAGTAGAGTTATAGAAATATTTTAAAAAGGATTAATTAGGAATATTATGGAATGAGATAAGATAATGTAGAGAAAGCATGCGAAATGATGGAAATACAAGTTGTCAATAGTATATGAGATTGTATAGGGTGAAGTAATGATGCAGTTTATGCCTAATTGTCAATTAATGTGTAGCAACATTTGAGCTTTGCTAAGTTTATGTGTCAGTCTAAACAATAATAAAGCAGATCTCCCAATAAAAATTGACGATGTAAACTTAGATAGAATGAATAGACTGTGTAATTATCTTTATAAATCCATACATCATCAGACATGTCATGATGGACGGCTGCGACTAATTTTGTAAAATGCAACAGTTGTTCAGTATATTTCATGATTTTTAGCAGTCTCATTTTTGACATCAATTAGTGATTAAAAAAATACCTTAAATGATTCAGTTACATGAGTACTACCCAAGGCATAGACAAAATGAAAATGGTTCCTATCTCATCACACAGTAAATCAGTTGGATTTAGATAGGATCAGTTTACAGGCAATCCTTGGTGATGAATCCCAGATAGTAAGCGACCTAGATCATACAAGATTAATTGTAAACTGCTTCCAACCACTTCACATAGTGTAATGTTGATAATTATGACACTGAATGGGTTGAGTTGGAATTTAACAATGAATATCAATCCTCAAAAGACTCAACAAATACATCATATTCATAGCCTATTAAACAATGTTAGTTTTACTGTCAAAATAATCAGATACAATTTTGAGAGAACTATTTCCCAAGTGTTTTGTGTGAATGTATCTAGACAAGTATTGACCTTGTAAATTCGAATCTACCACAAAATAGTCGAAAATGTTGAACTACAGAGATGAAACACATGTTCATGCAAATAATTCAGCAAAATACGACCTTTGACCAAATGACTACTACTATTATTTATTCCATTACAATCAATAAACAAACTAGTTTCCATATGATTTGTGTTAATGTACTTTAAGATAGTTTAGAAAGTGAATTATACTAAAATAATATTTCAGAAGTTTAAGAAAATACTTTATATAAAAAGAATAAACTCATTATTAATAGTGACATTGCAAACCGATTTTAATTAGACAAACTTTGAAAACTTCGACATAATGACTCCCATCTCGTCATATATATGTCAGTGTGTATCTTGAATCCCGCAACCATGGATCAAAAATGAGGTCTTAGGTCTCGTGTGTGGATGTTTAACTTTGAGACCGATAAGTCAGTATCTAACGGTTTACAGATTCATTTCCAATGAATCCACAATAGTGTGTGGCCATTATCCATTGTCTTCGGCAAGTAAATTTCTCACGTTCAACATGGTTAAACTCCACTGGTCGTGGTGCCTCAATAGAACCCTCGGAAATTTCTAGGTTTCCATTGGTTTTCTAACTTACATCAGTTGATAATATCAATAAAATTTTATTAATCAATTATACTTAAATGTGTGTAAATAGAAAAAAAGAAAGAAGACAATTACCTAGACCATGTGCATAGGCTGTTGCTGCTGCTTCAGATAAAAGTCGACGTGTTGTTAATTCTTGAACTGGTGGTCTAATAATTGACTGTTGTTGTTGTTGTTGATGATGATGACTAGGATTATGATGATGTTGATGCTGATAAAGTTCTTGTACACTAGATCCCAGTGAAATAGATGGTGATGCACAGGATGTGATAAATGGATGAGTTAATGATGATGATGATGATGAAGTTGAATTATTTGTATAATTATGACGTTCTATTAATTCAAGTTGATTTTCTGCATTACTGTTATTATTATTATTAATATTACTATTATTATTATTATTATTATTATTATTATTATTATTATTATTATTATTGCAACGTGATAATTGGTGATAAGCGGCAGCGGCAGCAGCAGCAGATGAATAATTATTCAAATTACCAAATGCGCTTGAATTCTAATTAGAAAATGAAACAGAAAAACAAGTGAATATTATAGTTAACAGAATGACTTGTTACAACAATATAAATAGGGTACATGAAAAATGCAATGAAATATTTTTTTTGAAAAATACAATCATGTTTAAAGATAACAACAATTTTAACTTGGTATTTATAAGAAAGTTGGATAGTTTACTTGAAGAAACTTTGTATTATGAACTAGGATTTATTGAATAGTCAAAAAAATTGAGAAGTTTTAAAGTCATGTAATGAAGGAACTTTTCATGATGAAAAACATTTATAGCATGACTAATTGTACCGGTAAAACTAAAGTCAGATGGTGGTCACATAAGTATGTCGAGTTAAAATATAGATATCTTAGATTATCAGATTGGGGGTGCCAAAATAAAAAAAAAACGTATGAATCTTTATGTACAACTGTAAGCAGCAATGCATCGATTGAAATCAACGCCGTTTGGAACATTTTACAGATATGTATATATATATATATATATATATAGGTACATTTTCCGAGAATATTTTGTACTAGATAAGAGACTCGCCTGAGTGAAGATAAATTAGAATTCACTCATTGCATTGTCTGCTTACATGTCTACCAACTGGTACAATAAATACACCAATATTAAATGTGATACAATATTAAATGAAAGACTAGTAACCAGGGCATTTTGTTATTATTGTCTTAGATGAGTAAATGAGATAAGAGACAGAAGAATTATTGATGTTTGGTAAATCTAAATTATCAATTAGAGTTATGGAGATTAGGATTTTTACACATATGAAGTCATCAATCAATCATTGTTGGACCGCCATTAGAAACCTGGAAGCACTGGACAGCCGTTTCCTCCTGGTACGGGACTAGCTAGCAGTGCGCATCCATGACACCTGCACCTCGCAGGATTCGAACCCGGGACCTTCGGTATTGTGCGAGAACGCCTAACCATTGGAGCACTGGGCCGGCGGCATCCAACGGCGTTAATGTCTAACTCTGATTGATCTAGGGATTTGGCGCGACCTCACCCATTTGTCTTCGGTAGTTACTGCCTACACCCGACAGGGTTGAACTCCACTGGTCACGTCTTCTCAACTAGAACTCCGAGAATTTCCTCACGAAGCTAGTCACTAGTGAGCACATTTTACGATATTTTCAATTAGAGTTATGGAGATAAGTGTTTCTACACATATGAAATCATCAATAATTATTGTTAAGAACGTTTGATAGTATCAACAGCACAACAACTAGAATGTTCAAGATAAATTAACCCAAATTCATTCAGTTGTATCTTTTGTTTCATTATCCTTTTGACAATCATCATTTTTACTGTCTAAATTCAACACCGTTAATGACATCTACTCTGGTGCCATTGTCCTAAATATAAAATAGATTATCAACAAACAAAAAAAGTCATAGGTTGGCCACTTTAACTAGTTGAGTATAATTATTAATAAGGGAACTAGACAATTTTATTCAAGCATCAGAATTTTTTTTTCACGTCTGATTTCACAAATCAACCATATATATAAATATGTATTTGTGTGTATACACAATGTCAAATATGTTCAAAAACTCTTAAGGACAAATTTATCATGTGATAAGTGACATTGACAAAGCACTGGTAGTAGGCAGTGATGACAATCATGAGAAAAAATCTACCGACTACATAAATATTCCAGTTTAGTGTATGCCAACATACAACACACAAGTATAATTTATAAATATAAAGATGAACAATGTTGAATGAAGTGATGATGTGCACGTGCTTTTGGTGATTACTTATGTATCGTTCAAAAAAAGCCTATAAAATGAATACTGATGTGTTTCGACTCTGTTACACAAATAGACTAAACATCTATGTTGATTAAAACATTTTATATCATATTCAGCTTCACCAAATCTGTATCCACCAATGAAAATTTTCGAGTTCTTTTTGATAAAAATCATATTTTGCATAAATATACTACTGTTAACTCATTTTCGAGATAAGTATTCGTGTAATTGACTTTGAGTCATACTTTAAGCTCAAGGTCTAGAGACACTACCTGGATGATTAGACGGAAATAAGTGGAGCATGGTTCGAACCTGAGACAGAAAGTCGAATACTTTAACCATCACACCACTGACAACGGTCTTAGGGTGAACACTGACGAACCAGCTTCTCCAGTCTACTCTGGTTTTTAGTGATAACTCAAAGGAACTAAACTAGTAACAACGATCGTTTCTATCAAACACCAGGTTTCGTTACAAAAAAACAAAATGAATCGAAATCAAACAGTTTTATCGCCATTTCAAGTAAACCTCAACAGCTTAAGCACATAAAACTGTACATCGTAAATAATTAGAGCAATACAGAGCAAACTATTAAGCATAGGTTAAAAACATTTCTATTATCTGTGCCGCGCTATCAACCCTTTTGGGCTGAAAACACCTCAAAAATCAATAATCAAATCGCTTAATGACTTCACTTCAGGTATTATAAGATATGATTTTTTGTAAACTAGTCAGTTGACTATTCATAGATAATTTGATTGCGTTTGAAGCGGAAGTTTCTGAGTTTGAGACCTGGGATGTGGATAGATTCCAGCTGACAAGTCTCGAAAAAGACGGAAAGTGCGTTCTGGATTCCATTGCTAGCTAAAATCAATCTCTGCTAATAATTTTAATTGTTTATCCATTACGTATTGTGAAATGATGATATGATAAGAGGAATTACAATAACTAATAAAGTCATTATTGCCTTACAATGCGATTTAGGGACCAGCTGAAAGCATCCTTTCATAATTCGTAGACTAGATATGATGAGACTTAAATTTGCTAATTAAAGCATGTAGTACGTTTGTATGTATATAATCAGTTATTAACTTCTTATCTTATCTTATCTTGAATAGAAGAAATATGTAAAATAACAGTAGTCAAACTGAAGTTCGATGTACGCCCGCGAAGTCTATTATCCATAACATGCATGAACTTGCAAGATAACCAGAAAACCAATGGATGGATATTGTAAATAAAATATTTAAACGGAAGTCTGAATAACTTTGCAATTTTCAATTTAATCCATCTTTCTTAATTTTTTCAAGTTGAAAAATTAGGGTAAACAGAAACAACAAGTTATATGTATATATACATGAGGTACAGTTTTAGGACAATTTCATGACAATAGATGTAAATACAATGTATACAAGCTGAAATCATGAATGACACACGATATCTTAATACATAAAAACAAAGTTTCACATGGACATACAGTTCTGTATAAACTAAAATAAACTGAGCCAATATGTTAATAATTTTTAGAAAAAAAAATTGTAGAAATTATTCTAAAGTTAAGACTAGTAAAACAAACAAATAGTTAGAAATGGGTTATCTGAGTGATTTTGTGGTTATAATCTATAAGTTGAACGTAATTTACATTACGAACTCGCTTAAGACGAAAGAAATAAGATAACCAAAATGCATTAGATGGGTTCTTATTCTTAATATTCGATTCATCATAGGTTTTCCACCAACAAATTGAAATGAAAACAAACAGAAAATTCGTGGCCCATATGAGACCTTCAAAGCCTGAAGTCAGAATCCGACTACCTACATTTTATACTCTTCTTAATGCAATATCAAGTACACACGCCAATTTTCAGTAACCGATTCACTGCAGCATTACATTACATCTCAGTAACTTAAAAGTACCATCCACAAAGTGAGACTTGAATGCTTTAAAACTAATATTCACGTAATGTTGTGAATAAGCAGAGTCAAAGTTCCATAACGGGATGAAACAATCATTCAGTGCTTTCTAGTTTTCAATAAGAAACAAATAACCATTCAACATTATTTAAGAGTTGGAAAGATCGACATAATAATGAAATATATTTCGATGTCTGATTATATACTGTCCAACGCCCGATAGTGGAACTGAAAAGTGATAGCGTATAACGTCTGTAAATGTACTGAAAAATTCACAATTACAGTGACCGCCATCGTAAACCTAGAAGCACTGGACTCCTCATAAGTGGGCACCCACTACTTTGCACATAGAATCGAACCCAGTCATATTCCATATCACGTACAGACGCTTAACCTCTAAACCGTTGAGTTGGCATCCAACAGCGTTAATGTCTAGTTAAAGGTCGTGATTTGAATGGAATTCAACAATCTCCACAATTCCTTATTGACTATTACATTAGACTAAAATTATCTTTGAACTATTGATTGATTTAATAAATTGGTGTTGGCAAACATTAGACGGAATTTATGAGAGGTAATTAAGCAAGAAAAATTTTCTCATTTCAGGATTAAAGGAAGAGAGTTTTTCAAACAAAAATTCAGATCAACTTGACATTTTTTCACACTAGTCTTCTGAGAAAATCAAGACGACACACACGCAAATTAAGCAATATTCCACACAAGTAGATTAACAATCTGACTATATGGTTTAGAACTTTGAATAGATGAGAAGATTCTACCCCTATCAGTTAGTCCACCTACGCATTATTTGTTAAACCAAATCAGGTTCATAGGTTTTCCCTTAATGATAAGCTTTCTCGTTCAATTGTCTTCGTTAGATGATTACTCCGGTCACTATATAATTGCAGTAGTTAGACTAATAGAGGGGCAGACTGATTGATTACATCGATCCAATGAGTATGAAAGGTTGAATGCCAGTCTGGTTAGCAAAATGGACTAAACCTAGTTATATTTGGTTAATGCTTGCCAAACTAGTCTTAACGAAGCCTGAATCTCTGTGAACATCTTATGACCAAACGTGTCTTTAAACAAGCTGTCTGTTTATAAGTCCACAAAAAATCTGGGGTTATGAAGCTTGTAAAGGTGAAATGCACCTGGATATCAGGTGACAAAATCTAGTAATAAATTTTTGTTAGTTCGATGCTACTTACTTTGTGAATTTCCATTTATAAGTAGACTGAACGAATAAATGTCTAAATCTCAAATATTATGTGCATAAATAATATATATTTGAAATTAATCATACTACAATTG